GTTTTCCAGAATTCTTCCCCTTGCTTGTTTCTTTTGAAGATCATATAGTTTTTGTATCAAAAAATTTGTAAAAAATCAAGAACACGTGAATCTTTTTGATCTTTTCCCACAGACGGCGCCAATGTTGAGGTTTTGTCCCGTAGATCCGGAAGCCCAACATAAACTTTGGATATGAAGGACGATGGATTCAGTATAAAAGTGAATAATAAATATATAAAAGTGTATGAACTAGCTATTTTTACGTGGAAACCCGGAAATGGAGAAAACTACGAGACTTTTTAGGCTAACGTCCAAGCCCGCTCTTTCTCATTAATATGCACTCATCGCTCATTTACATAATACAAAAGTAGAACTCCATTAATGGAGGTGAAGAAACTTGCTAATTTATCAAAGGGGAAGAAGAAGACTCCACTGGGAGATAAGAGCCAAAGCAAAAAAGCCAAAAGATCCACAATCTGGAAGCCAAGCTTCCTATTTATAGGCAAGGGGGAGGGTTCCCTATTCTTCTGGGCCAGAAAGGCCGGTTGGGCCTTAAATGGGCCTCGCCGATTGGGCCCCGTTCCGGGACGGTGTATTGGGCCTCTGAACAGTAGTAGGCCGGGGTAACAAACCCCAACAACCTCATTTAAATTTAAGTTTTAATTAAAAACGCGCCTCAACAATGCAAATCTTTTTGTTTAAATATTTCTCGTGATTCAAATCTTGTGCACTAGAATGTAGCTCGCGTTAGTACGAATGTAATCTATAAATCTCATATTATCATTTATCACCTCTTCTAGGGTACTTTCTCTCACCTCCCATTTATAAATCATAAATGTAAATTGCGTGTATATAAAATGTAACTTGAGATAAATTGAAATGTATATCCATATATGCAAAATGTAACTCAAGAGTCAAGACAAATCGAAATGTAAATCACGTGTATGCAATAATGTTAATTCGAGGCAAGTTAAAGTGTAAACCGCCTTAATTAAAACTTAACTTAAGACAAGTCAAAATGTAAATCACATTAATGGAAATATAAATCTAGGCAAACTGAAATACAAATCACGTTAAGAAAAAAGAACCTAAGACAAGTCAAAAAGTCCAGACAATTTAGTGAGTCGTTTTTCTTTATTTTATCAAAAGGTGCAGAAGAAGTAGACACACTTCAATTAAAAGGAAAGTCAGAAAACATTACAAGTTTACAACCACTACGATCAAATATTTCATCAGTGGGTTAATCCACAAGGAGACTAGAGGTACACATAAAACGTAGGCGAGCCCGAAACATGTTTAAGCCTAGAGTGCCACAAATACAATTCATAAAAAGAAATTGTGAAATGAAAAGTAGACAAGTTGACATGCATAGTTGTTGCATGAGACCTTTCCCTTCCTACAGCTTGTCTCAATCATTCTCTTGGAGTTTAGATCTTGAACACAACAAGAATCATGAAATAGACCAACAAAACATCTAAGGTCACATATTTGACCAACAGAAACAAGATTTATACTACATTTGTCCCTTATAACTTTGCCAATTTTCCATTTTTGGTTGTCCCACTAACTTTGACATTTTTCTTTTTAAGTAAAGAACTTGTGGTTCCAGTTAATTCTCTCCTTTACATAAACCTCAGTCACACAGTTTTTACTTTATTAATCTCCGCGGCAGTCAAACTTGACAAAGTTTTAAGGGACGGAGATAGTATGTAATTTAAGAATACAATACATATCAGATAGAGATATAATGGGGCTATGAACCGTCCCAATGCTAGTTATGGGCATAGGCTGATCAAAGTAACAAAACATATCGCAGACCTATATCTCCTCATCATATTCCGATTCTATGGGAACATCTTCATCTAGTTCAATGTCATTCTGAATTATGGAACCCAAATAACGGAACATATGACTGATCAATATCTCCTCATAATATAGGGCAATCACTCTACTACCACTGTTTCTACCTCCACCAAGCTGACCATTACATAACTCCAATATCCAAAATTCTTCCTATCAAGGTGAACACGAATTGATCGCAATAAGTCATCATCACCAGCCATTACACACATAAAATTAAGCATGAACATAAAAGAAGCAGAAGCAGCAAAAAAAAAAAACTGATTAGCGCTCCAAACCCTCTGCAACCCCCATCAAACTTACCATGGAGTTGGATCGTGATGGAGTTGGCTTTTAAACTTTTTTGTACACATTGAGTGTGAGACGTGAGTTGGGCACTGGACCTCACTCAAATAAGAGTGGTAATCCGTGTGTTCATTATTGGCTTATTAGCTATTCATGTGTTGTCATGGTCCTCACCACCCATCATTGCCCATTTTCATCCGTAATCATTCTTTCATATCACACCTCTTTCTCGAAATAAAAGTATTATTATCTTCATTAATGTCAATGCATTGTCCTTAATAATTTTTATTTGACGGTGCTCGAATCTTCCTCGTTTGTAGTATATGCATCTCATTTTGGTTGATTACTCGAAATTGAAAGATAGAACTTCTTAGTGCACAAAAGGGAAAACCATTTCTCATTTTGAACAGATAGAGATTGAGGAGAATTGGAGAAGCAAAGGACTTTGCAAGTGAGCATGAGGATGATTTGAGTTAATATTCTCTGGATCCATCCACCACTCCTCACATTTGTCCAATTGTCCTCTCTCTTATCCGAACTCAAATTCTACCCAAGAGACACCATTGAATTTTATGTCTGAATAACATCACATGTCAATCAACCAGCCCACAAGCTCGGATAAAGGCAAAGAATGCCTCTTCTAACTTTAGGCCTGAGAGAAGAAATGAAAAAAAATTCTTGGCATGAAAGAAAGAATGAATGGAGGAGTAGGAGAGAGGAAGGTGAAAGTAAGGGTTGGATCAAGGTGGCAGACTCATAAAAATGGAGTCATAGGTTCCCTAATGTAACTCCAGTTAGTATAAAAATGATAAAAAATAATATCAAACAAAATATTAAAGAAGCATAACGTTTCATAGTTTATGTACATTCTACCATTAAAGAAGCATAACGTTTCAAAAAAATTAATTAAGCCCCCTATTGAAAGTACATCTAATCAAACCCTCGAACTCGTTTAAAATAGGCAAGTTCTCTTTTAACCGGTATCAAACAAGTAGCCGGTTACTTTGTACACGTGGCGACACACATGACAGTTTTTTTCATTTTCTTTTCATTTTTTTTCTTTTCTCTTTCTCCTTTCCCCCTTTTCCTCCACCTTCTTCTTCGCGTTTTTCCTTCCCGTTCCAGCAATGGTCTTCACCACCCTCTTCCATCTTCTTTCACTCACCCTTTCTTCTCCCACCCATCAATCCCAACCAACATCGGACTCTACAACAAGCAGCGAATCCAACTATAAGATCCGCCGCAAGAGGAATCTTCCTTTATTCACCCAATTGTTTAGCTCCGGGAGCTGTTTGTGGAATATCCGACGCTGTTACTTGACTCGGCGGAAAGTAGCGACTAGGGCAGGCCGTTCCTTTATTCTCCCTTATTTGTTTTCGAGGGTACCAGCAGTCGAGGACCCCTCACTCCGTAGCTTCAATTCCTCTGTAGAAGAGGAGTAGGCGGAGGAAGAATTGCGGGGGTGAAGTGAGGTCGGGAAACTACGAGCAGAGAACTAGAGGGAAGAAAGAAAAGAAAGGAGGAGCAGGAAAGAAAGAAGTCGCAGGTGCAGAGGCGTATGGAAGAAGAAGGCGCGAGAAAGAAAGAAATAGAAAAAAGGAAAAAGTCCCCATCACACGCCGTTGGACCGAGAATTCGGAATATACCCGGTTAAAAAGAGATTTTTTTTGAAAGGGTTAAAAAGAGAATTTGATTGGTTTTTAATTGTTTGGGGGTTTGATTGGACACACTTTTAATAGAGGGGTCAATTGATTTTTTTTGAAAAGTTGGGGGCTAATTTGGTAGTTTTCCCAAAATTCTTTTGCTCATGGCAACCTTAAACGAAATTACCGGAGTGGAAGAATTTTCAACAGTAGAAACATTTTGATGCTCGCTTGTACCTTCAGTTTGCACACTAATAATAACAAGAGTAGCAGGTCCAAAGAGAGAATGCAAAGTGATTTTGGTTTCTCCATAGGAGGCTGTTGTGTAGACATAATTTCTTCTATCAAATCAAAATATATTGTTTAAAAATCATTACAAAATACTTGATGATATTAAAGTAAATAGCAATTTTGTAAAAAGATAGTAAATTTTGTATTCACAACTCAGAGTACACTGGGCCAAGGCCCAGTAAGGCCCCCTCCTCCGCCCTTGAGATCAGACCAGAATAAAGAATTCATTCAAGTTAAAAACATTCGAATATTAAAACGGCCACGATGTAAGAATTCTACGATACCCAAAAAGTACCACACATTTATCCACATGTAAAATCAAAATAATGTAGTTGAGTGATTTAAATGGCCAGTCCCCTTTTTGCGCGAAAGAGATTTGTAATCAAACTCCATGGATTCGATCTATCTATCGATCAATATTATATTTTTTTTTGAATGAATTCGGCTTTATTAATAACCGATAATTTTCAGAGTATGGGTCAAAAGACAGGAAGAAATCTGACAACCGTTGTCCCTTGAACCAGACTCGGAATTAATCGCCGCAGCAATAAAATTCGATGATCCATAATTGGGAAACAAACAGCCAGAAACGGTCACTCTATTCCTCTCAATCCCCATATCCAAAATCAACGTCTTACAAACAAGAACAATAAAGAAAAAACAAATAACAAAACGGGCATAAAAATTATTGGAAAAACAAACGAGACAAATAAAATAAATCTTCTTCATAACCCTAGATTTGCTTGCCTTCCATGGTGGCGGCTCGGGAGGGGGACGCATCCGTCGCTCATCCACCATAACCTCAATATCAGCTTCATCTAGATCCAGTTCTTCTTCCCCTGCCCCATTCGTCATCCTCTTGTATTTGTCCACGAAGCTATCCATAAAGCTGTTGCTCTAACCTTCTGCCAGAAACTCCTGCTCATTGTCGAGACCGAACACCTCAGACACAATTAAAGCAATCAACCAAGACAGATCCCAAAACGATTAGGTAGATGAACCCAATCCTAAAGAAGAAACAAAAACACGATAGTCGCTGGACAAACGCCCCTAGGCAAACCCTAGGAGGCGGCCCTCTGGAGCTCTCGAAGAGCGGCTCTGTCGATCTATATTATATTATCAGAGTTAAACTTGCGAAAAGGCGTTAATCGTATTATTATTATTATTGTAAATTGTGAATAAATATATGGATGCTTGCGCTACATCGGCGGCGTGTTGCCGGAGGCCTCTCGCCTTTAGCCGGCAGAAGATCCTCTCGTCTGCGAGGCGCTGCAACATCAGGTTCGAAGACGAGACCCACTTGGGTTACTATTCCTCCGGTGGCCGGAGTATCAGATCTGATGCCGCCGTCAAGCTCAAAAAGAAGAATTTTCTGTCTTCGATTGGATTCGGCTTGGACTTTGCAGAATCACTCCACCAACAACAAACTACTATTTCGGTAACGTTATTTCGATTTAGCTTTCAAACCCTAATTTGAGGACTGGGATAAGTATAAGTTGTGAAAAAGTAGTGATCCGCAATAGCCTTCTTTCATTTTTTGGGGCCATCCGACTACTTATAAAGGATTCAAAACATAAGGCATGTTCCCCTCCTAATTAAACTCAGGGCCAATGCCAATGCAACCAATCCAACTTAGACTCAAGAATGTGATTAATTAGTCAATGTTTTTAAATTCTAATTATTTGATTTGTTGATTTTCTAGCAGGGAGGTGCAGAAACCATGCTCTCCCATCTCAAAAAACTAAAAGCAACGGGTAAACAAAAAGAAAGGCGCGGAGGGTATGATTCATCAAGCTCTTCATCATCTGAATCAAGCGATAGTGAGTGCGAGGGTATAGACAACATGAACAGAAGGAAGTGCGACAATGCAATCGTCCAACGCTTTACTACTCCTGAGTCCAAACCTGTTGTGGTATTAGATTCACAGCAGCCAATGCTGCTTCCCGTTTCAATCCACCCTCTCTCCAATCCTATCAATGATGAAAGCCCGAGTTGTTCTGAAATGGGAAGTCGGACCATGAAGTTATTTGAGGTATGCATGGGTGGAAAGTGCAAGAAATCAGGGGCGCAGGCTATACTGGAGGAACTTCAAAATGCAGTTGTAGGGGTACCAGACGTGTCAGTTTGTGGATGCAAGTGCATGGGGAAATGTAAAGTTGGGCCCAATGTGAGGCTTTCGAGCACCGCCGTTTGCCATGACGTGTTGCATGACAACAACAATAATAATAATAATGGCGGCCTAGCGAGGTCTGTGTATCAAAGTGTTGGTATCCAGGATGTGAGTTTGATGGCTTCCAATTTCTTGGAGAGGAAGGGCGAGGGTCAAGGCCTTGCTGTTGCATCTTGATTTTTATTTACTCGTTAGGTTTCATCCTCCCTACTGTGGTGTATCATATACAGTTTATTTTATAGTGTCGTCTAAGGTTGCATCGGTAAGTTTTTGTATATCCATGGAACAATGTTCTTCTTGTGGTGTTGCTTTATGCTCCAACCTCTTGGACAGAAACTTTCTTGGACTCTTTCCTTGACAAGTTCAGATTCTCTGGCATTCTCTTAGTTCATCTCCGCTCACATATACTTGCTTTTTTCTTATGCTGTCAATAAATAAGGTTTCTATTTTGATGTTCACAGACTCGCAAGTCTTGCCTTGTTTCTCTTGTATTGCCCTGCCTTGCGTTGGGTTGTCTTGTGTTGTCTTAAACATAAAGACAAAAGTATTACGTATGAGTTTGCAATTGACAAATTTAGGCCCAAACTTCTATTCGGCCAAAAAAGGTACCGAACTAATAGTGAAAAGACTGAAACGGCCCATTCCAAAAAACCTAGCACGAAGAAGTCCATGTCTCTCTCGTCTCTTTTGCATAGCACCAGTCGCCGCCGTGAACAATACCCCCTCCCGGACGTCGACACCATCAACTGGTCGCCGCCTCCTCGGTTTGCTCCTTCGTCTCCATCGTTGACCAGCTTTGTCGTTCATGTTCGTTTCTTCCTCTTCTCCTTCCATTCATACAGTTGGAGATGGTGAATCAGAAACGACGATGGAGATCCAAACAGAAATCTCTAGACGGCGGACGTTATCTATCTATGTGAGCAAGTGGCGGTGGCGCACGACTGTGGCGATTGCGACCAGACGGCGCATCGATTGGCTATGGTTTCATTTCTATGGCTGTAGTGGCGATAAGATGCTACGATTTGCGGGGGAGGGGTTGGGTCAGCGTGGGGCGCCACCGGCGATGGTCGTGGTGGCAACAACGGAGCTGGAGTTGATTTTGTGGCTGGGGATGTGGCTAGGGAGTCTATGTCGGGTGGGGCTGTGGTCGGTGGCGGTGGCCGGCAGTGGCCGACGCTGACTGGCGGTTTCTGGAGGTGGACGGCGGTGGCCAGAGGTGGCTGGCGGTGGCTAGGAGTATTGGCGGCTTGCGGTGGTCACTGGTCACTATCAAATCGGGAAATTGTAATTGGTATATCCGGATAATTGTAACTTGACGAGTCAGGTAGTTGTAACTAGACGGGTCGGATAACTGTAACTGGACGGGTCAACAATTAAATACTAAAATATGAATTTTTATCAAATTTGATTCAGGTTTTTGCAACTTTGTAAAGATTTTAATGTAATTTTTGAATATGTATTTTTTTTGCTAAAAATAATTTGGATGCAAACAAGGATCCATTTCCTTTATCATTAGTCAAGCATCGTAAAGCACAACAGAAACATCAAATTGGGACGGAGGGAGTACTTGATTTTGAAAATTAATTACTTCCTAATTAACCTTCCTTTTTCTGAGACCTAAAATATTAAAGTTATGTAATATGCATTATATATTGATAACAGTGTGTATAGTTATGTTAGAACTTTGTAGTATTAAGTTTTTATTAAGAACTCATTTCAGGTAGAAATGTCTGCATACTAAGGTTTCGAGATGTGCGTATTAAGGTTGATGGATGTGCATATTAAGGGTACATGATGCACATTATATATTTATAATGTCTCCATAACTTATATTAAAACTATATAGTAATAAAATATGTGGGTGCTGCATTTTAGTAGCTCATATGTTGCATTTTATCCTTATGATATGTGCATAATAGAAGTTTGTATATTGCATTTTAGTAAGGTGACATATGCATTGTACAAGATCATCTGATGCATCTTATAGTTATGACATCTGCATAGTAGATTGAAGTGATATGCATATGAAATTCATGGCGTCGCAAGCTGCATAATATATGACAAACGTCTTCTAAATGGTAAAATTTTTGCATACTAAATTACAAGAATTTTGCATAATAATGAAATTGATAATTTATTGCATTGTAAAAGACCACTTGCTGCATCTTATCGCTATGACATTTGCATCTTAGAATACCATTTGCTGCATCTCATCTTTATGACATTTGCATTGTATACTCAATTGACATCATACAAATTTCATGGTGTCACATGATGCATAATAAAATATATATGAGAAACATGTTTTAAAAGGTAAAAAATATAACATGCTTGCATAATAAAGTCACAAAAGCTTTGCATGAACATGAAATTGTTGAATAGGTTGGAAAAAAATGAAAAGAATAATTAAAAAAACCAGCGTGCACCACAGATTCCATGAAGATGTTGTCATTCGAACAAAAGAACACCAATGAAAATATGTTAAATTGGAGATGGAGATGGAAGATGGTGATGGTGATGGTGATGGAGATGGAGATGGTGATGAAGATGAAGATGGAGACATAATAGACGGAACGGTGGGTGAAGATGAGATGGTGATGAAGCTTTGGTCATGGAGAGATTGTTGGTTAAATGTGTAGCGGAAGAAATCGCAGAGATGGAATGGAATGAGAATCGCAGAGATGGAATGGAATGAGTATCGCAGAAATGGAAGGGACTTAATGAGGGTAGGCAGTTATGGAATTGCACATGATTTTTTCCATTATTAGATTTAGGTCAAATGACGACTAAGACACCCTTACTTTTAATTAGTCTGACTTGAGCAACTACAATTAAACGCACGGTTATTGCAATAGATGAATGACTATGATTAGGTTTGTAGGTTAGCATATTAAGATGAGTTTGCATTTGATCTCTAATCTATCCACTTATATACTTATTATCCACTACTTAATATCTACTTGTTATCCACTTATATACTTATTATCTATTAATATCTACTTATTATATACTTATTATCTACTTATATTTACACGTATTATATCTACTTATATATTAAGTATATATATCAAAGTATTAAATATAAGTGTACTACTCATCTAATAGTAGTATATTTATATATTATAGGCTAAAGGGTCAAATATACACCTGTACTGGTCGTGTAAGCTAGTCTTGGACTCGGGTCGGGCCGCCCAGCCCGGGAACCGGCCGGCCCGGTGAACCGGGTATGGTTCCGGGCCTAGGCCCGGTCCTGGGGGTTAGGGTGGGGCAGTTCCGGTTCAGCCCACTCTTTGGAACCGGCCTGGTCGGTCCCGGTTCATGCCTTTTTTTTGGTTTTTTAATTTTTTGGGGCTTTTTCCTGAGTTGGGCTGGGTGTTTGGGGGGGGGGGGGTTGGGGTAGGGGGTTTGGGGGGCGTAGGGGGGTTGGGGGTTAATTAGAAAAGAAAAAAAATAACATGGACCCGGCCCGACCCGGACCCGGTGGTAACCCGGGCCGGTCCCGGGCCTTCACCCTAAACATCAAAAGCCCGCTCGGGCCTAGGCCCGATCCGACCCGAGTCCAACACTAGTGTAAGCTCAATTTAGACCCTGAACTAAAAAAAGGTTCAATTCACACCCCGAACCGACAAAAAATGGTTCAAATTTCATTTTTACAGTTAAACAACCAGTCATTTTTTAATTTTTTTGTTTCTGTTTTTTAATTTCAATTTATTGCAATACTGACACTTTTAAATAGTTTAAGGGTGCGAATTGGACCCTTTTTAGCGGTTGTTTAATCTTAAAAAATGAAATTTGAACCCCTTCTTGCCGGTTCAGGGTGTGAATTGGACCTTTTTTAGTTTATGGACTGAATTGAGCTTACATGACCGGTACAGGGGCCTATTTGACCCTTTTAGCCTATATTATATACTATTAACATTATATTACATATTAGTTACTTAAAGTATTATTTATAGTTTATACATTTATTCTAGTAGTAACATTTTCATTAATATTAGTTACATTTATCCTATTAGTTACATTCCCATTTTAATAATGCAACTCAAACTTTTAGGCATGTTTATAAACTTACCTTAAACCTATTTTTTGTTGAAGATGTTAATCTCACTGATGCTTTTTCTGAATTTCAAAATGTCCCCTACGTTCATTATTTTTGTGATTTCATGAAAGAAAAGTTTTTAAAATGTTATACATATATTCTTCCTGTATATGGTATTGCCTTTGTTCTTGATCCTTGTTTCAAACTTACTGCTTATAATAGTTGTTTAAAGTACTATTATACTACACTTTTTTTCGGTCCATTACCTATGAACGAAGATAAGCCCATAGATCTTAAAGAGCAATACAACGAGGTGAGTAACTTATTTCATCAATTATTTAAGGAGTTTCATGCACATTATGGTAACGCATCCCCTCCCCCGAAACCAACTGCTTCTTCATCTAAAGAAAAATCTTTTTTTCAAATCTACATTTGGTAATCTTATGAAAAAATAATTCAACTCCCGCTCTTGCACAAAGTCGATTAACAAGCTTTCTTTATATCTAACGTTTCCTGTTGAATATGAAGAAGTGGATGACTTTGACGTTCTTCAGTGGTGGAAGGACAAAGAAGGAATGTTCCCGATTTTGTCGAAGATGGCGAAGCAAGTGCTATCAATGCAGGTGTCAACAGTAGCTGTGGAACAAGAATTTAGCGCAACCGACAACATCCTAACGGATTATAGAACGAGACTGAGCGCACAATCTCTTGATACGCTTATTTGCTTCCACGATTGGTTGAAGGCCCGACGTAGAACTCAAGAAATTTGCACCGCCCCTGACCGCCACTTCATGGAGGAAATAACTGTTGGAAAAATGTGTTAAAAATTGCATTAAATGATAATTTTGGGGCAATATTTTGAGTGGGATCCACTTACGATTTGGGTTGGGTCAAAGTGATTTCGGATTCTCCTTGTTAAGGGCTACAATTCAATATGTGGTACGCTCAAAACGGATAACGGGTGAATGAGAAATTGACTCTCGAAGTTTACCCTTTAGAATGGAAAAATTGGGAAATATGATGGGTTTCTAGTGTGTTATTTCCCCTACCAGAAAACCCAAGAGATTTGCAACCCCTTATAAAGGGAAGCCTCCTTTAAGGAGTTAAGATTCCTAAGGTGAAAGGCTCTCTCTTGCGCGCAGGGGGGTGCGAATCAAATCCCGAAACGGAGAAGAAAAACCGTGACTTGCGAGCGCGGGCGACCTGCAAACACGAATGTCGTCCAAAAATCTATCTCTGAAGAGACACGGTTTAACTTTTCTTTTCTTCCCGTAACATTTATTTTTCCCAGTTAACATAAGTTCTCGGCAGAACGACTCCTCTTTCCGAAGCAGATTGCTCGGCAGAAGAGGACCTCCGAACAGAACACCTATGGGTGTTCTGCTCGCTCCGGAACCAGAACACCTAGGGGTGTTCTGCCC